TTGTCAATTTTCATTTTGTTAACACTCCTGTGAAGTGTTTTTGGAAGTCTTACTACATTTAACAATTATACAAATACAAATTATAGAATCCCTGCACTGTGGAAACAAGCCCTTCAGCCCAAAAGTCCACACCAACCCTCTGAAGAGCATCCCACCCAGACCCATCCCCCTACCTTTTCCCTGTAACCCTGCATTTCCCATGGCTAACACACCTAATTTACATATTCCTGAACAGTATGGGCAATTTAGCATGGTCAAACCACCTAGCCTGCACATCTTTGGATTGTGGGAGGAAACTGGAACACCCAGCAGAAATCCACGCAGACACAGGAAGAATGTGCAAACTCCTCACAGACAATCGCCCAAGGGTGGAATCGAACCCGGGTCCCTGGTACTGTGAGGCAGCAGTGCTAACCACTGAGCCACCATGCCGTCCCAAGTTGGAGGGCTCTTGGTGCTAGTGTCCGTACTTCTGAGTCAGAAAGTCCAGGTTCAAGTCCCGTCTGGTCCAGAGGTGTATAATAACATCTTTGTCAGGTTAATAAAGAAAATATCCATAAAAACAACTTGTTATTGATGAAGAGTCTAGGCCCGAAATGTCAGCCTTTCTGCTCCTATGATGCTGCTTGGCCTGCTGTGTTCATCCAGCCCTGCACCTTGTTGTCTCTTGTTATTGATGTAGGTTATTTATTTAGCAAATGTAAATTCTCAAGGCCAGGTGATATCCTCCTCATTTGCTGAGCTTGAGGTGATTGGTTTGTGATTTTGTTTGTAGAGGGGACATTCCTTGGTAATGTGCAGAATTGTCGGTCCCTCTACAAGTCCATAGAGAGTTTATCCTGAAGCCCCACTGGTGGAAGTTGGCTGAGCAGGAGCCGGGGCTTGTCTTGATCCTATTTAGCAAGGCTCACTCTCGTCATGGGAGTTCAAAACCTGCCATTTGCCAGACAGTGTTTTGTCACAAAGTACTTGTTAGGGACTTCCTGTGTTTCCTATTCCTTGATCCAAAGCATGTTTTCTGGGAGATCTTGCTCAGGAACATTGCTCCATACTAGGTTCCAACACTGAGGATGGACAGTAGGTTATCTTGGAGTGGGTAAGTGAGATGAAGCATAGATGGTTTCAACCACCTTGTAAGATATGTCGGGGAGTGAGGTTTACAAGGTCAGGAAAGCAGGGAGAGGCATTGAGCACAGCAACCAGTTATAATACATGCAACTGAGTGTCAACAAGATGCGTGTGTGATGACCTATGAGAGACAGGTGCACAGTGCTCTATTGTGGAGTCTGATAGGGCACGCTGAGGTCTGGAAAATTGTGGCAGCAGTGCCCTACAATGATTCAGGCAGTTTGGTTTAGTTAGGTTGTTGCTGGTTTTGACTTTGTTGTAGCTGAGCTCACGTCAAATGAATCTATAGGCATGAATGAGTTTCAACCCTCTGCTTTAATAATTAAAAGATTTCTGTTCAGTAGCTATTAAAGCCTTATGGCATGCAAAAAGGATGACAACAGATTTAAACAACTGGAGAATACTATAGCTAAAGTAAGATTTTGTACATATCTTACCTTCTCTTTCTGGTGAAAGCTTCTGTTTAAGGAGGTGATCTACAAGGGCAATGAGGGAAGTGTAGCACTGTGAGCCCACAGTGTTCCAATTCATGCCACACAAGATATTAATAGCCTCATCGATTTGCTCATAACGAATATACTGATAGATGAGTTCAGTCGGTCTCAGCTTTCCTCTCAATACGGCGCCTGTCACGGGGAGAAAATGTACATCCGACATAAGAAAAGTTACAGCACAAACTTGGTGCGTTATAAAGGTGTGATGCTAATTTGAGGTAAAGAACCAAATTAAATACTACAGGACCAGGCAATCATGTCAGTCACTAATCTCTTGACAACTAGGTCATGAACAAAAGGGGTTAATTATTTAGGAGTTGATTGATGCTGAGCAATCATTTGATCTTAGTAACAAGGAGTGACTAATCAGCACATTGTGTAATCTTGTAATGATGGAGGAAGAGCAGGATTCACTGGCACTTGTGGTCTTGTGACTTGTAACAAGGCAATGTTATTGGGGGGGCAGGCAAAAAGAAAGCTGTCATTACTTCTTTGGAATGTTTAAGACAATTGGACACCAGGAATCAGTAGAAGTGAGACATTAATTGTAGATGTCAATACTTCTCCATCTGGGTGCTTGACCTCTTGCGGGTGGTGAGATTCCAAATGACCTACACAGGAGAATGAAGGGACAGACAACTCATTGCCTAATTGATTTAAGAACAGTGCTTAGGGAAGCAGTCCAATTAAAAGTACAAGCTGGCAATTAGCAGCTAGAGCTCCAAATCCCCCCTCTCAGCCTGCTGGCAATAAAAGTAAAATGAAATGTGCTTGCAATATGAAGTAAAATCTGAAGATTTCTGGGAAGCAGGCATGAGTCAAACCACAAGAGACAGCGAGAGAGCTTTGCGGGTTCCAAGAGAAAGCAGTATGCCTCACAGGTAACCAGGTAATTTATCATTTTTCTAATGGGCAGCATCTCGAAATGGATCAAACAGGCAACTGTAATTAATGGAGTGCTTCAGAACACAATGCAGCTGCCCACAACAGCCTTTGGCAAGGTAAAAAGGGAATACTGTGATGAAAAGTTAACGTTTAAAATAAGTAATGAAAAACAGTAAAGTTTTGTAGCATGAGTAACTGGGCTTGGAGTGAATTGCTTCCCTGCTCACTTTGAATTTTCAGGATCAAATCATACTGGTAGTACAAAATCTGACAGTGTTCACCAATTTTGTGACATCATGATGTGTGTGCAGAAAACTACTTGTTAATTCTAGAGCTATTAAAAGTACTTTTAACATTATAATTGGGTGGCCCCAATATGGAATGCTTTTAGATAGGCTCATTATTTGCTTGTTCCTAACCCTGCTCAGTTCTGCCCTATGAGAGCTGCACTCCAGTTGGTTTGCTTCCTACGGTTGAGGGTGTCATATCACTGCATCCAAGGGATTCAAGCATTAACTCTGTAAATCAATTCAACTGAATGTTTGCATGTGAAATCTCATGGCTCTACCAGAGTATACAGGAAAGTACTTGTAAGAATTTGTACTTTAGCAGTCCAAATGCCAGAGTAATAAATTCTTATACAAAAACAAAATTGCTGGAAAAGCTCAGCAGGTCTGGCAGCATCTACGAAGAAAAAAAAGTTAACATTTCGGGTCCGGTGACCTTTCCTCAGAACTTTCTCAGAATAAATTCTTATACTGAGCATGGTATTGCAATACTTAAACAGGCCACTCATCCTAAAAGCTTTTACCAATATTTATCCACCACTGGAGCAAATAATTCTAATAACATACTCCATGTTGTTTCAATATCCCTCAATGACCAATCCAATCTCACAACTGACATTGTTCCTGTCCGAAGAAATAAGCAGGGATGTGTGACCTCCCAACTCCCTGGAGTTGTTCATTGCCTGAGCACAGTCAGCATGAATATCATGCACCAAATGACCTCTTTCTGGTTGCAGACCATGTTTGAATCATATAGGAGAAACCTGTAATAACTCCACAGAGGCTGGTATCCCATCACCAAACCATCCTTTATTTACATGTAGGAAGTCCTTGACACTGATCCAGCTCCCTCAGAGCCAACTGTCAGAGTGCCAGGATGTTTGACATTGCTGTTTATAATCTGTCACACAGGGCTCCTTGTTTGGACCAGGTTAACAACCCCAATCAGGGAACTCATATTCTATGAGGTCCACCTGACTGACCTCATTATAATCACTACAAAACGTAACTTAAACTTAAAAAAAATTGGAGAGAAATATCTAACTTTGTGGTTAACTAAATAAGTAGATTATTCTTTCATTTTGAAACACACTGTACCTAATCATTGCTGTGGCATACAGCTTTCAGGGAAATCCATAGTCAAGTCTTCATAAATTTGACTAGCTTATTGAATAATTGACAATCCAGTCCAAATCATGACATTATGAATTGGACGTTTTACACGCTTATCAAACTGCTTTAATTTCTTTCCATATATACCATATTACAACTGACTAAAATAAACATTTAATTCTTTTTGCAGGTTATTAAAAATACGTATTCAACAATGGCCTACATTTTCAGATGATAATAACATTGAAACAGAAACTTCTGGAGTCTGCAGAACTTGGAAAATGGAAAACTGGAAGTTGCTGTCAGTGATTGTAACCTTGCCCAGGATGTACGCTATGATGTCCTCCACAGTAAGCAAACACTAAAAACACCACACTTTGATTTTGTCTGGCTGCAAAAACCTTTGAAAAATGCATAGTTTTTTGAATCATGTTTAATGAGATTTTAATCATGTACAGACTTCAAATTTACTACTAAATACTCTTACCGTCCCTGAAACACTAACTTTATATTTGAGGGATGTTAGATATCATCATTATGATTTTTAAAAAGGGCCTTTTGTTTCTAACATATCAATTTCATCTTAATCCGATTATAAGCATTTATTTCACTATTTGAAAACATAAATTGAAAGCAAAAAAAAACTTTCTGGATTCCTGTCTATGAGAATACTTCTATTTAATTAGCTTCTTACTCTGCTGGTTGACATTACTATTAATGATGTCTGGAGACCCCTTTTAACCCAGTGCCAGATTCAAACTAACAGCAGGAGAGAAGAATTGGACACCCAAGGTCCCTAAATCATTGTGGGCAGCTTTCCACAAGGTTAGCTGTGATTGTTATTACTTTGCCATTGACTGTGAAACCAAGCACATTGTGAAATATACTTGTACACAATGTGAAAGTGAAGATGCCAGTTAATTGAGGATATGATATAGGTCACAGATTTGACATTTAAACAAATGAATTAAAATAAACTAAAGAACTTTATAAACTACTTATGCACTTTATAATAAAACATTACAAAGGACTGTACAAATATCCTGAAAAGTAGCAGAGAGCTTACCTAGTTTCAAACAAAGTACTCCAACAGGCCCTTTATCAAATCTCAGAAACATGCGATCATGTAAATCGAGGCTGTCGCTACTTGAAGGAATGACCTGGGAAACTGTCCATTGAATCTGTGCCAATCTACTTGTTATAGCAAAGTGTTGGCTGAGTTGAAGTTTGGTCACAGGTTTTACGTCCTCTGCTAACAACTGCATCTTAACTGGTGACAGTGCCATGTCATAACACTGAACTTCACCTTGATAGCTGCTCACCATAATTAATGCACCATCAGGATGCCAAGCTATCAAAGAAGGCATCAGATCAGCTTGAGCTAGTAAAGTTACCCTGCGATGAGCATCATATAAAATTAGTGAAGAATCCTCACAACCTAAAACAAGCTTGTCTTCTATAATATTTCTGCTGCAGCAAATGGCTTTGGATCTCAATGGGATGCTAATGACTGCCATGCGCTGTAATTTATTCCGAGCACACTCATAGATGCAGCTGTCTGCCATTGGCTCTTTGTCTTGGCCGACAAAGCATTCTACTGTATGGACCTGATAGGGCTGATTAATACTGAAACCAGCATCAAGTGGATCACCTTCTGTGCGGATGAAGCTTAAAATCTGAAAAGGAAGAGAAACAGTACACAAATTAAATACAATGAATAGTTAGTATCGTGCTGAACAGTTGCTGCTACATTATCCCTACTTATAGATTTAGAAATCAGAAGACAACTTATTGGAAAATATAGCACTTGTGTTTGTAAAATAATGTGTAATACTTAAAAATGTTCAGACACCAATGGCTGGATTTTCCTAATTTCACCAGAACAATCATGTGGTAGAATTTCCAACTGGCCAGTTATTCCACTGGCATCCAATCACATTTTCAAGAAGGGTGTAATGTGAAATGTAAGGCGGCTTTTCAGTGAGCATCCTACTCTGCAGAGTCTGCACTGCTAGGAGAGAAGGAAATCAAATTTGTAGCAGCAATTAAAAGGTTGTAGCAGCTGCATACCTACATGTGCATGCATAACAGCTGCAACTGAAGGTTTGAAAAGCAATAATAAAAAGAGCAATGTCATTGGGAAAGTGGGTGAGGTGAGACTTGCAACTAACAAAGTTGACAGATTGTCAGAAGCTCAGAAATAATGCTGGTAGGGATAGTAGCAAGAAGAAAATGGTTCTGGTAGCCAGGGAGTCATTTGATAGGGAGTGTGGAGGTTTGTGGCATTGTTGAAGTAGAAACAGTGTTAACAATCAAAAAAAGAGCTATTTTGCACTAGGTGGATTGAATACTGCTGAAAGCATTACTCCTCTCACCACATCCAGGAGCATATGACAAAAGAAAGAAAGAACGACGTATAGCAAGCACTAGATCTCCCCCCTTCATCCCACCTCTTCCATGAATTCATCTCCAGTTGTATCATTTCACATTCACATTTTCTGTAAAAGTCAGTACAAGGTGAAGAGACAACTCCATTGCCTGCAGCTGATATAGTCTCCTTGCACTGGAATATCATCCTATAGTTCAGCCAAAGATGTGTTAAATTATTTTATGGCATGCCTCGATCTTTGTGTTCTTTGCAAGGAAGAGACATACAAACATTCCAACATGAAGGAATTGTTGCTTCACATCTCTCAATAGACAAGAAGAGAAGGTTCTGCAACTTAGAAGCAAACTCAATGGCAAGATTGGAGGGCAGCTGTCAGATTCAGGCTGTTAATGGAATTGGCCACATACAGAGCTTTTTCTTTCTACAGAAAATGCTCAAGACTCAAAAGGCCTGATGTTACATCTTAAGTCAGAAAGCACCTTCCTGAAATAAACATTCCCTTTGTGCCTCACGTGTTGTCAAGCAACTTGGCACATATGTCCAGACAGACGCTTCCTCCACCAGATTCACCCACTTTGTCCTGCACATCAGTTAAGCATCAGCTCAAACTGGGGACAGATTGCTAATGAAACAGTGAAAATCATTGGGCCAATTGCACTGGATCTATGAAAACCATTTATTGTCTGGATAGTTTGAGAATTAATGATGAAGTTAGTGGGGTGACTGTATCCTGCCCTTTGGGAATTCAGTTACTTGGATGAAGATAATGTCTGCCTCTCTCGATTTACTTTGGTTCTTACAGATCAGCGTACATTTAGAAACACCTCAAAGATGACATTCATGACATGTTTAATATAATGTAAGCTGTCAGCTAACTTATATGACTAAGATTAAATGGAAATTAATCACAGATACAGGCTGTGTATCCCCTCCAGTCCACACTGCTGTCTGTCTTCCAAACGTGGCTTTAATTACTATGTCCTTCAGATTTTCTCATAGCTCTTTACTGCCTCTTTCTTTATCCATTTATTTAATCTATTCTTAAATGTTAAAATAGGACAAACCTACCATCGTAGTATCACAGAATCAAAGGTTGGTACCAGAACAGTACAAGGCCGTTCAGCCTGTCAAATCTTTCCCAGCTATTTGCAAGAGAAACTTAGCTAATTATTTTTAAAGGCAACTTAAAACATGCAGTAACTGATGACACTATGATAAACTGTTCCAACCTTCCTATCCATTAAGACGTATGTCAAGCAGATAGTCTGTTATCACTCGGCCTCCCCTCTCATCCACACCCTGACCAAAGATAAAGTTTTTCCCATGGTCTTTTCTTTAATTACTAGCTTTGGTAATACACTCCAGAGTTTTACAAACCTCAGTGCTATGTGCTATACCTCTGACACTGGATATTACGGTTATATTTCCTCATTCCAGAATCCTTGATTCCTGGGAAAAGTCTGTTTCATACTTTAATATTGTTAAACACCTTCACCAAATCATTACATAATTTCCTGTTCTAATTAAAATAGTCCAATTTTAAAATATTTTCTCTGTTTTTATGCTTGTTCATACCAGACAGCGTTTAAGTGAATCTATCCTGAACCATTTTTATTGCCTCAACATTTTTCTTATTGTGTGGAGTCCAAAACTGGACACATTTCTCCAACTGTAGTCTAAACAATGTTGTGTACATTTAATATTACATCATGATTCCTATATTTTATGCTTCCTGCCATAATACCTAACATTTTCCTCATATCTTTATCTTCTTGAGGTGTTGCCTTTAAACATCTTATGAAACTTAAAGTCCAAATCCCACTATTCTTAATCCCATTCAAAGCAGCATCAATTTTCATTTATAAACTAAAACATGCTACGCCTTCCTCCTGGATGCAGGGCAAGGCAGTCACTGACATAAATCTCTGTTTTCTTGTTGACTATTATAGTCAATGTGAAGTTAATGTAGAGATCAGCCCTGGGTATTGGTAACCTAGTTAGTTCATTTAGGTACTGCAGACTGAGAGATTCAAATGATGTCCTCTGTAGCAGAGGAGCCATTAGCGAACGTATTAAGAGCTGTGGAGATTTTGAGAGGCAATAGCAAAGTGCATCTTGCTTCTAAAGCAGGTAGCAGGTCCTGATCCAGGAGGTCATCATCATTGGCTGGCCTTCAATTTAAGCATGATATCACCTCAAGGTTGAGAATTTTTGCTAGGGGTCTTTAGTGTACAGCCTGCTGAAAGGGTACTTCTTTTCTCTCTTCACTTTGGAGGAGGACGGAGGTACAGAATTCGGGAAGAGGGACTGTGAGGTTCTTGAGCAGTTTCACATAGGGAGTGAGGAGGTATTGGAGGTGTTAGCAGCTTTAAAGTGGACAAACCCCCAAGTCCAGATGAGTAATATCACGGATTGTTGTGGGGGATAAGGGAGGAAATTGTGGGGGCTCTCAGGAAAGGTGCCAGAGAACTAGTGGACAGCTAATGTAATTCCACTGTACAAGAAGGGTGGTAGAGATACACCAAAGGATTAGAGCCAAGATGTGGAGGTGCTGGTGTTGGACTGGGGTGGACAAAATCAGAAGTTATACGACACCAGTTTATAGTCTAACAGGTTTATTTGGGATTACACAAGCTTTCAGAGCACAGCACCTGGACTGTGCTCCGAAAGCTTGTGTGATTCCAAATAAGAGATAGTAGGAACTGCAGATGCTGGAGAATCCGAGACAACAAGGTGCAGGGCTGGATGAACACAGCAGGCCAAGCAGCATTCTGGTGAAGGGTCTAGGCCCGAAACGTCAGCCTCTCTGCTCCTATGATGCTGCTTGGCCTGCTGTGTTCATCCAGCCCTGCACTGTGATTCCAAATAAACCTGTTGGACTATAAGCTGGTGTCGTATGACTTCTGACAGGGAATTAGTGATCAGTGAGTCTCACATCAGGGATACAGTTGGAGAAAATTCTGAAGGAGATAGTTAGTCTCCACTTGGAGAGGCAAGGCTTGATCAGGGATAGTCAGCATGACTTTGTCAGAAGGAGGTCATGCGTAAAAATTTTTTAAGGAAGGGGCCAGGTGTGTAGATAAGGGTAGCGCAGTTGATGTAGTTTATATGGATTTCAGCAAAGCAATGACAAAGTCTCACATGGGAGTCTGATAAAGAAGGTAAAAGCACATGGTTTCCAGGGAAACTTGGCAAGTTGGATCCAAAATTAGCTTAGTAACAGGAGACAGAGGGTGGTGGTAGAAGGTTGTTTCTGTGAATGGAGGCCAGTGTCCAGTGGCATACCACTGAGATCAGTGCTGGGTCCTTATTGTTTGTGAGGTGTATATATAAATGATATAGAAGAAAATGGGGATGGGGAGGGTGGGGTAGGTTATGGGTGGGTATGATAAGTAAGTTTGTGGATGACACAAAGATTCACCAGGTACTTGACAATGAGGAAGAAAGTCTTCGGTTACAGGAGAATATAAATGTATTGGCCAGATTGGCTGATCAGTGGCAGATGGAATTTAACCTTGATAAATGTGAGGTAATGAACTCTGGAAGAAGGAATAAGACAAGGGAATACTCAATGATGGCAGGAGACCAGGAAGCTCATGGCGACACGGTGGCACAGTGGTTAGCACTGCTGTCTCACAGCAACACGGACACGGGTTTGATTCCAGCATTGGGCAACAGCCAATGTGGAGTTTGCATGTTCTCCCCCTGTCTGCATGGGTATCGTCCAGGTGCACCAGTTTGCTCACATTATCCAAAGATGTGCAGTTTAGGTGGATTGGCCATGCTAAAAATTGCCCCATAGTGTCCAAGGATCTGCAGGTTAGGCAGGTTAGCTAATGATGGTTAGCTAGGGATAACTGACAAACTTTAAAAATATACTTGGATGAGAACTTGAAATGTCTTAACTTTGGGCAAAGTGCTGGAAAGTGGGACTAGTGTACATTTGGAATAGTTTTTGGAGCAGACCTGATGGGCTGAAGGGCATCTTCCGTACTGTCTGAATTGATCCCGTATTCAGCAAGATGCATAGTAAAGTGATTTTAAACTTTTATTTGAATTAGTGGCTGTGCGGAGACATCACAGGTGAGAAAATGCTAGGATAACTGGGTCCATGTGGGCAAGGTGGTTAGAATAGCAGCAAGAGTGTGGGAAAGATGAAGAAAGCAAAAGAGAGGAACTACATCACCACATTCTGAAGAGCAACTAGAGATGGTCAACAAATGGGCTGACCAGCGACACCCACATCCGTGAAAGAATAAAAACAAACTGAAAGATGGTTGGCGAGGCACTGAGAGGAGAAAGCAAAGAAAGGAGAGAGGAACTTGTATTGTAATGGAAGACAATACAAGATTTGAGTTTTGTGCTTCTTTAATGCCCAAGATTCCGATTCATACTACATTTAATGTGCTGGTCACTGTCTGCTAGTAATCACAAAAGGCCTTCAAAAGACTCAATTCTGCTTTGAAACTGTGCATAGTCCTTTTGAAGACAAACACAACAACATTTGCTTCATGTGGCCACTTCCTACTAAGTAGCTGGAACTGTCTAGATGCTCTCTTCATCCTCTGTCAGCAGTCCTTAAAAGCCAAAATCTTATTGAAAGTATTAAAATTAGGCTAAGGGGAGAGGTTCCTGTGGGGACAATGTTTTTTACAAATCAGCTAGTAGCAGATCCTGCTGTATTCAGCTATATGCCTGAAAATTTACACCAGTTTTAAAAACATCTATTGGTTGATATAAATCCTTTGACCTCTTTTAGAAATTAACCTTCTACAAAAAAACCAAAAACAATCTCTAAGCAAGACTTAATCTTTGGTAGTGTGACAAACAACAGAATAACTTCAACTTTTTAAAGCCACTTTTTTTCACAGAACTGTTTATTATGGAGTGATTTAGTATTTAAATGTAACTACATAAAAATGTTGAGAAAGCAGCTACTGATTTACCTATCAGTCTAAACTTGAAATTTGCCTTCTTTAACAATAAGGGAGATGAAGTAATGAGAAAGGAGATAAGACTGAAAACTACTCGGGCTAAACAAATGTATATAACAAAACAAGTCCTGATTGAAGACATGATTAAAGTATACAGCTTCAATAAATATCGGAGCAAAACTATTTAAAATATATCTACTCTACATTAGGAGCAGAACACTGGGATGTCACTGGTTCTGAATCATGCTGATTCAAGTAAAGGAGAATATTATTGATTTATATTCTTTCAATGGAGTAATTACAATTAATGCTATCTCTTAAAAAAAAACTTGCAATAAAGTGAAGCACGTTAAAGTACAATGTTTAAGAAATAGCTTGTGTGTTTCAATTGTATAGATCCTTTGCATGGCCACTGCAAGAAGGTCCATGAAAATCATAAACTAAAGCAAATAATAGCTTCAAACAGAACACTGAGGAGAAAATTGGCTTAACTTGCAATCTGAAAATGAACAAAAGAAACATACAAGTCAGATTGCTATGATTGAAGTCTTTGCTTCTCTGGAGAAAAATTGAGAATTGATTTACTTCAGGGTGTGATAACCAAAGTAGTTAGTTTTCACAATGTGGCACACAAAATCACAAACATCCCTTTAATTAGAGGTGAACAATAAATCCATGTCATATTTTAAGAAGATTCTACATGCATCTGAGTTGCAAACAGAACTTTACTTGCTATTTCTTCCATGTATAATAAAAAACAGAATTAAATGATTATAAAGTCCTGAGTTAGGAATGGAAGCAGATTCATATCTGCCTAGCTCAGTTCCTAATGATGCACATTGCAAATAGAGAGATTAGCCCTGGTTAGAATGAGGGCCCCAACATAAAGTTGGCCAAATGTATATCAGCTTAGAAAAGGAATGTGCACCTGACAGGCAACTAAAGTAGGGAACAAAATAAAGAAAATAATTAGGAAATTTCCCTATGTACCCTGCATAAAAGGCCTGAACAAATAGTATAATCGACCCAGTATAAAAGGGGAAAGAAAGATCACATAATATAAATTATGTTCAATTCACTGTAAATTTGGGTAATGAAATATTTTACCTCAAGTCGGCCATTTGTGCAGCTCAACAACACCACATTAGCTCTGTCACATTCACTAGATATTGGAGACCAAGGCCAGGCATCTCCATGAACCGTTTTCCACCAGCAGATCACCATATCCTGTATATAATTAATGGCTAAGCAGCGTTCTACTCTCCGTCCTGTAGGGCCTGGTAAACTGATGTAAGAAATCTATAAAGAAACAAAACTGACATGTTAAAACCACTGGATTTATACTGAAATATTCTGCATAATAAAATGGTTCCTGATTTCACTTTGCTTCAATATAATTAATCTTAATTTACTGATTATCTAACCCAGGAGCTGGGTCTTGTGATTAGGTTGGTAGTGTTCCTGCCTCTGAGGCAGAAGATCCAGGTTCAAGTCCCACTCCAGGAATTGATGGCTGAGGAAGGTGTTTTCATAACACCGCCAAACTGGCTCAGTATCAACCTGTAAATCCTTCCCACCCAGCGCAGGCAGTAACGGGGAAGGATTCCTCCTCTGCCATGTGATAGAAAGAAAGTGAAGCCTCTCTGCCCATAGCTCTCAGCTAGAAATGGCACATCAAGGTGTATGTTGCCACAGCAACTTGGGAATCTTCAGGGGCTCTAGTTGGCTCAGTTGACTGGCAATTGACTGGATCAGATTAATGCCAATACAGCATGGGGTTTGAAACCCTTTCCAACTGGGGTGGATTTCCTAACCCCATCTTGCCCTACTGCTAGTGATTGCAGCACTGTGGGTTGGCCCTGTACTTAGGCAGAAACTCAAGAAGAAGATCCCAGATTTAAAAAAACAGGATGGAATAATGTATTAAAAAAAAAACTTAAATCTCCATTGTTGGGAAGCATATGGTGGCTGTACTGAATTGGCAAGTGTTCTGATGTTACAATATAGTGTCAGAATTTAGCAGTACATTTAAAATTATAATTTTCAGTTTTTCTCCTGTACCTCTGTTTAAAAAAAAAGGTTGTCAGCACAACATTATTAAAATACAAAAATTGTATCATCTACATGTCATATGAGAAATTGTGCTGTAACCCACCTAAGGAATTAATAGAGTTTGATAGCAAGAAGAAATACAATTTTGCTATTTCTGGTCAGCAATAATCAAACCATTTTCTGAGGATTAGCCATACAGCTAAGCTCACTGGACCAGGCACTCATGAAGGGCAGGGGTTCCCCTTATCAGGGAAATGCTTCTGGAGCCAGTTTCACTATGGGATAGATTGCTTTTATATTCCTGTCTGGGAAGCAACAAAGGATCCCAGTAATGCGATAATGCCAGAGTGCGCACAGTGTTAAGAACCCGCTCCATTTATGTATTGTCGTTAGCAAATAATCACGCTCATCCAAATTGTGATCTCACTACTTGTCTCAGGCCATTATAGCAGGGTTAAGGCTGAAAGTCCTTTGCTGCGTTTATGCAGTTAAACTGAGGTCTTCTCTATTTGTAGTCCTAATATTATTGCTCTCAAACCCCTTGAATGAACGTCAAAAAAGGTGCTCCAAATTGTAGAAAAACTTTTGATGCTGTCCACCTAACCAGACTTTTCAAAGCTTTCAATTCATATGGTTAGTTATCTAAACCACTTTACTGTTCATTTCTTACATAGATTTTTATCCCAATTGCTTGAATTTTCTCGACACAATAAATGTTCAATGTGCTTTCCACCTATCAGATACAGGAAGGATTAGTATGATTGCATCTCCATAAACTACCAATTAGTCAAGTCCAATAATGCATTAACATTCTACAGTTTAAAAATATAGATTTAATTATTAAAAATGCAAAAAGTAATTATATCAAGACAACTTTGACAAATTAGTTTTGCAAAGCTTGAACCAAACGTTACACACAGTTTTAATCCATATTTAAATTCCTAAAGGGCTAGAGTATCACAACTGTCTTTTATTACACAATATGAGCAAATGTAAGTAATTTCTACAGCTGGCAACTTGTGTCCCAGGAACTGATTTTAAAAAAAACCTCTCTCCACCATTAGATTGCTTCAGGTCCATCATGCTGTTCGTTCAACATCCAGCATTGGCTGAGCATCAATTTCTTCCAATTATATACTGTTCATTGAAATATTTCTGAAATGTTGTGATGGTCACTGCTTCTAGCAGCCTTTCAGGCAGTGAATTTCAGATATCCACCACCCTCTGACAAAATTCTTCCTTAAATCCCTCTAAACCTCCTGCTCTTTACTTTAAATTTATGCCTCCAATTGTTGATCCATCTACTAAAGGGAAAGGTTTCTTCCTATAATTCTGTACACTTCAATCAGGTCCCCCCTCAACCTTTGCTGTCCTAAGGAGAACAACCTCAGCCTATCTAGTCTCTCTTCATCGCTCCAGCCCAGGTAACATCCAGGGGAATCTCTTCTACACCATCTTTCGTGTAATTATATCTTTCCTATAGTGTGGTGACCAAAACTGCACACAGTACTTCAGTTGGAGCCTAACTAATGTCATATGCAGCTTCATCATAACTTCCTTGCTCTTCTATTTAGTACCTTGACTAATAAAAGCAAATATCTGATATGCCTCCTTAACTACATTATCCACCCATCCTGTTGCCTTCAAGGACTTATGGACATACACACAGCAAGGTCCTTCCAATCCACTGGACTTCCTAGAGCTCCACCATTCATCGTGTACCCCCTCACTTTGATAGCCCTCCCAAAATGCATCACCACTCATCTTCCAAAATTAAATTTGATTTGCCACTGTTCGGACCATCTGGCCAGCACATCTATATGTCTTGTAGTTTAAAGCTTTCCTTCTCACTATTTTCCACATGACCAAATTTTGCATCATTTGCAAACTTACTGATTAAACCTCCTACATTCATGTCTAGATTGTTAAAGATTTTGATTTGGTTTGATTTGTTTTAATTTATTATTGTCACATGTTCCGAGATACAGTGAAAAGTATTGTATTGCTTGCTAACCAGACAAATCATATCTCACATCAGTGCATCAGGGTAATAGAACAGAGTGCAGAATATAGTGTTACAGCTACAGAGAAGGTGCAGAGAAAGATCAACTCAAAATGAGAGGCCTGTTCATAAGTCTGATAAGTGGGATTGGTACATGTTTTCAAACTTTTGTATCTTCTGCTCAATGGAAGAGGATGGAACAGAATATACCCGAGGTGAGAGGGCTCTTTGATTATGTTGGCTGTTTTCCTGAGGCAATGTGAAGTGTAGACAGAGTCGGTACTCTGTGATTACACCACTGGACACAAGTCACAGAAACAATCTTCAACCATCACCCTTGCCTCTCCAAGTGAGATTAATTACGTCCTTCAGGAATTTTTTTCCAGTAATTTCCCCACCACTGATGTTAGACTTGAATCTTTCAATCCATCGTTGGCTGTTCCCTCAGCTGCCTGAACCCTATGCTCCGGAGTATCTTCCCAATCCTCCAACAGTTTTTCCACCTTAAGATCTTCTTTAAAACTATGTCTTCTACTAACTCCCTTTGTGGCACAGTATCAAATTTTGAAGACACTCCTATGAAGTGGCATGGAACATTAAAGGCCTTTTGTATATTCAAGTTGCTGAGGCCGTTAGTGACAACTAATCCGAAACAACATAACTGCTCATTTTTACAGACGCCCATGCAATTATGGCATGTAGTACATACTTGTAGAATGCAATCCCTTTCTCTCATATCCCTGTATTGACAGTTGCTCAAGAAAAGAGCTTTGAAAATAAACTATACACTATACAACTCAACATATACTAGCTGCTGCCCTGTCAGTGTTTTGTGAATTCAAGGTGGCTGCTCCCTAGGCAGGTGTGAGAACATAGGAGGGATGCATTTTTGGAACACAGCGTTCAATTTGGGTCTCACTGCTACAGGGAAGATGTTGTGAAATTTGAAAGCATTCAGAAAAGATTTTCAAGGATGTTGCCAGAGTGGGTGGGTTTTAGCTATAGGAAGAGGCTGAATAGGCTGGGGCTTTTTTCCCCTGGAGTGTCGGATGCTGAGGGGTGGCCTTATAGAAGTTCATAAAATCATGAGGAGCGTGGATAGGGTGAATAGCCAAGGTATTTACCCCAGGGTAGGGGAGTCCAAAACTAAAGGGCACAGGTTTAAGGTAAGAGAATAAAGATTTAAAAGGACTTAAGGGACAACTTTTTCCACGCAGAGGGTGGTGCATGTACAGAATGAGCTGCCAGAGGAAGTGGGGGAGACGAGTACAATTACAACATTTAAAAGGCATCTGGGTGGGTACATGAATGGGAAGGCTTTAGTTAGATAGGGACCAAATGCTGGAAAATGAGACTAGATTTATTTAAGGTATCTGGTTGGTATGGACAAATTGGGCCAAAGGGTCTGTTTCCGTGCTGTATATCTCTACAACAATGACTATCTTGTTGGTGGATGGGAGATGGGGCTGAAGAGAGGTGACTTTCATTTCAGTGGTGGCTGCGCAGTGAAAGGGACTCATGCCTGGCCAGCAGGTCCATGGCTTATGGCAGCATACTTAACAAGAAGGCCTATAAAGTTGAACACTTTTTCTTTATTTCTTATTTCTCTGCCTTTATGTTCTATGTTTTGGTTTATTTTTCTGTATTTGAAGATGGCGCCGGAGAGTGGCAACACTATTCAACATTTCCCACTCTATTTTGTGACAAATAAATCAAATAAATAAATAAATCACATCTCCACAATAAAGGATTTGGAAAGCAAATTTTAAAAGACGTCCTTTGAGACATTGGTCACACAAGTGTTAATAAATAGTTTGTCACTGAATGATTGCTAATCTGGCAGGACAGATTCCCAGTTTGTTGTAGAACCAGACTGATTTTCACCCTGGTGCAATCATTTGGGTTCCATGGAGGACCAGCCACCGGGCACCAGGAATCTCATTCAAAAAGACACTGTCAAAAAAAATGGGAAAATTCAGCTTGATAAAACAATTCTCTGGGATTACAAGAACACTTGTAACACATTATAGACACATCATTTCAATGTTAAATACAACAATACCCTAATTATTAAATAATAAAATAATAATACTACTTTTTAGTTCTCTGCCCAAAGATAGCTCTGATCCACAGTGCCACAACTTCCGCCATGGGTGGGGGCTAGTCACAAATCCACCTCAGCTAGAATGGGGATTCAACTCCTGCTGTTGGCACCAATCTGATCCACAGTGAAGTGAGCCAGCTG